CTCAGCACTTGCACAACTGAAAGGTTCCAAGGTTCCTTTTAAGTCATATAATGTGGAGAGAGAGAGAGAGAGCAGAGCTTCTTCAAACAATGGTTAGAGAGAGATGGGGGGTGGGTTTTTAGAGAGAGAGGGAATATTTGTAGATGGGACGAGGAGGAAGGTTCGGGGATCGGGTTTTGAAGTTTGAGAGATACGCCTGCAGAGAATAAAGGTGGGATGGTGGGAAGAGAGAGAGATAAAGGAAAAAGGGTAGACAATAATTAAAAACTAAAAATAAAAATAAAGGAAGGGTTGGGAGTGTAGCTTCTTACAAGGAACAAAGGTGGAAAAAAAGTTGTGAGGACGGTTTGTGGCAGGGTGCATGTGAAACCAATTCCTTGGCCTATGCTCATCTTTTCTCTCTCTAATTGACTCACGGTCCCCTTCAACTTATTCTCTCTCTTTCATTGAGTCATGGTTTTCTTCAACTCTCACTCTCGTGATGGTCCTTTAACTCTCTCTTATGTGAAAAAGTGGCTTTTGATTGTTTATTTGGAATTTTACTATACAAAAAAAAAGAGAGAATTATTTATTGTTAATATAAAGAGGTCGTAATCATTTTTGTCCATTAGATTTACAATCAAGTGGTTGTGAATGTGTCATTTACTGGACTCAAAGTTTTTACAAAATTATCAAACTTCGTGATACACCTCAAGCTATCCAGTTTCACATCTAATGATGAGTAAGTTTCAAAAATCATGATATACAATTTGGAAAAAAAAACTAAAAATAAAAACCCAATTTTTTAAAATAACACGTTTATATAAAACCGAGGCTCTAAACAATCAAATTAGAGCCCACCTCAAAGATTTCACTAGGAAAGGTTGTTTTGATGCCCAAATATCCTCAAATTGATCATCTCGATATCAAGATTCATGGACATTAGAAAAAAATAGATTTCAAGTTTTGAAAATAGTGTATCTTGTAACACATTTTTGGACCGTCAATTTTCAAGATTTTTAAGTTTTCATTGATCTGCTGAATCTACACTATTTTTTAAGCTTTAAAGTTTATAAGTAAATATGAAAATATATTTTAAGGCCATCACAAATATTTTCAATATTGAAACCATATTTGTCAACAATATTTGAAAGTGAGCTTTACTTTGATTGTTTGGATTGTTTGGAGCCTCATCTCAATACAAATCGCACCCCTTTTAAAAAGAATGTGGTTGTATAGGGTTGCAACCTTAAATAATCAAATTAAATTGTACCCCCAAACTTTATCACGAGATACAATTTTAGTGTAAAATTTTTTTAAGATGGTGCGAGAATTTATTTTTATCTCTTATTATAAAATTCTAAACTCCAAAATAATTCCAATTAAATAGATCTATAAATGTAAAAAAATCTTAAAAATAGACGGTCCATGAAATGTATTGTAAGATGTATTATTTTTAAGATTTCAAATCGCATTTTTTCTCCACATGTATGCATGTCAGTGTTGAGATGATCAATTAGATGTTTTTCATCAAAACTATCTTTTTGGAAGGATTTTAGAGGTGTGCTTTAATTGTATATTTTAAGGTGTTAACGTTATATGAATTTTTCCTTTAGAAAATGTGGAATTGGCCTTGGTTATTAGTTTTAAAAAACTCTTTTTTGGGACATATGAAATATGCAGAAAAATAAAAGTAAAAAAAAAAAATAGGGAAGAATTTAAGGGTACAGGATATAGTACTAAAAAATAAAAGTAAAAAAAAATAAAGAAGTAAAGGAAAGTGTGACGAATATTCTTCTGCTCCTTCTGCCTTTAGTTGCAGAGGCGCGGAAGGTAAGAAGATTCTAATTTTTCCCAAAAGAGACGTAGGGGAGAGAGAGAGCAGAAAAAAAAAGTGGAGAGAGAGAGAGAACGATGGAGAATACACACAGTTACTGTTGCCAAAAGATTGTGTGGTCTCGAGGGAACTGTCCAATTAATCCTTGGACAAAACCCCCGGATTTTTAGGACACTGAATTTTGATCATCTTCAACTCATATGCCATATCCAATAAAAACTTTCCAGCATTTTATGTGTCCTTGAAAGAACTAATGATGCAAGATCAATAGAAGCTATCCAGTTTTTGAATTAGAGAATTCAAAGTATAAATGTTGTTATTTTGAATATAATCATCTAGTAATTTAATGATTCTTTAGTTAATCTTCTGCCTGAGGGAATAAGTGTACAATATGCTCCTTGCTAGAGCATAGTGATCTCGGATATCTGGATAAAATATTTACACATGGTTTGCCAAGAGAATAGATGTATAGTGTTATGTTAAAAAAAAGAAGAGAGTAGATGTGCAATAGAGAAGAGGCAAGGGTGGTAGAGATGGTTGGAATCGTTTACCATGAGACCATTTACTATTAGGGTGAGGTTTATATAAGGCGTCAACTTTATACCATTGAAATAAGGTGTACCTCAAAACTATATCGAAAATTCAATTTCGGTGTCGTAAAGCGTCGTAATGATATGAAAATCTATTGTTTTTTTCAATTATGAAATTTGAAGTTCTTAAAATAGTGATGATCAAACAAATTTATAAACCCTTAAAAATCTTGAAAATAGATAGTCAAGATAAAATATATAAGATGAACTATTTTAAAGACTAAAAATCCCATATATTTTTTGGAGATGACCAGGGTTTTTTCAACATAGGAATAACTTTTTTTAATAAGTTTTTTTTAGGTGCACCTTATTGGTATATATACTTTATATAAATAATTTTTTAATTATTATTACAAAGATGTCACAATCACTTTTCAAATAGAATGACTTGATGGGGGTGACTCAGGGTGCCATAAAATTTGAAAAAAAACAATTTTTTTTTTTTTTTAATTATAGTGACCAATGCATTTATAACTATTTGATAAGAGTAACGGGTGAAGAGAGTGATCCCTCGTAATATGCATGTATTGGGAGAAAAAAGAGAGAGAGTATTCAGCTTGAGAAGAGAGAAAAAGGAGAGAGAGAGAAAGAGGAGAGAGATGGTACGTGAACAGTAGAGAGAGAAAGAGAGAAGGGGAAAAAAAAGTGGATGGGAAATTCCCTGAGACAATAATGAGTGATTTTGTCTCATTAAGTCTTGTAGGAGAAGCCTCCAAGGCTTTGCCTTTTTAGAGAGAGATTCCCCCCTTTTCTCTCTCTATCTAACCAGCCCACCGCTTCTCACCACCACTCACATAGGACACGTGTTCTTAATATTCCCCAAATCTGCCCCTGAATATCCCTTTTGTCTCTTCGCACAAGGGAATATTCCCATGCCTGGTCCCACGTGCGAATCCAATTAGGGTTTAGAGTTAGGGTTTCCCCCATCCCTTTCTAGGGCTTCTTCTAAAGGTCACGGGTACCACGAGAAATATCCTTGAAATTCAAAATAGTGTGACCTAATTGCCCTTGAACTTTATCAGATATTCTTCATGATAGTTTTGTTAAAGAGAAAAAATAAGATGCTGGCTCTAAAGGAAAAAAAAAAAGGAAGCTGGATGCTTTTAGTGTATTCTCATGATAAAGCCCTCTTTATTAGGGTATATACGTAAATCATACTTCTGGCTCCAAAGATATACAACCCAATTAATTATTCTCGGGAGCATGATACATTGGAATAAATACGCATTATAAAATCAGGAATAAATACGCATTATAAAATCAGGCGATTTTCGATCTAGATTGTTGATTTGGATAGGAATTGGTTAGGGATTGAATCAATTTTGGCATGGATTAGGTTTCAGCCATATTCTCCCTAAAACACTCCCTCGTATAATTAACTCCTTTTTTTTTTTTACACGTGTCTAGTATTTTCATAGGTCTCTTCTAGTCCCCATTATATAAACTTTATTTTTAATAATATTTTTTAGATCATCACC